GGCCTCTGCAGTCAGGCTGAGGACCCCTGCCGGCCAGGGAGGCCAGGCTGTGCTTGACATAGACCATGGTGATGTCAGGAGCCAGCAAGTGCTTTGGCCAGACATTCCTTAACTGGAAACCAAGCCTGCAGTCTCGCAGACATGAAATTTAAGACTGAAAATGTCTGCCGGCTGGTGTGGCTCAGTGCTTGAACCAAGAGATCACTGTTGATTCCTTGTCAGGGCACATGCCTGGGTTGCAGGCTCCGTCCCCAGCTGGGGGGCTAGGTCCTCAGTCGGGGGCATGCAAGAGGCAGCTGATAAATGATTCTCTCATCATTGATGTTTCTATCTCTCCCTCTCCCTTCCTCTCCAACAAGAGAAATATATTTAAAAAAAGAAGAAGAATGAAAATGTTTGAAAAGTATGGGCATAAGTGAATGTCAAAATGTAAATGAGAAAAGTTTTTGTTTGTTTTTTTTAGAAGGATGAAGGAGTAATAACAGGGAAGCTACCCATCACCACTAAGAGAGAAACATGCCTTCTTCAAGCCTTCCATTCAGTTTTAGCTATAGAGGAAGATCTTATAGCCCCTGTTAACTATTAATACACAACACTTTTGTGTACACAGAGAATAAATAATATTTAAAATGTCTAAAGTAACATCACTCTGCTATAGCCCTCCCATCAATTGGCCTCTTCTGTTTTCTGCACTCTGTTCAAAGCGACCATTGGAAAGCCTGGGTTTCCTAGTGGACTTTAGGAAGAGTCAGAATATGGGAGTGGAAAGTTGAATCTGCTGCGGACTGGGTGCTGAAAATGCGTGTCGTCACTCATAGCAGCTGTTTGGTGAATGGTGAGAAACCATATGCTTAACTCAGGGACTCACAACATCAAAGACAGATGGTACCCATATCACAAACGATTATTGTAATAAGCATTCTGTGAGTGTAAACTCCGCCTTTACCTGGAAGTGAAGGAAGAGCTAATAGGAACTGAAATTACTAGATGAAATTTAAATGGAACCGTAGAGGTGTATTTTTCTTTTACCACCAAGGCTGTTGTCAGCCATCTGATAAAAGAGACAAGACATTATGCCCTGTTGAGCTGGTTTCATCCACACAGAAGTGAACAGACACAGTAACCCGGACTAGAGACTCAGGCTGGAAGGTCCACGTGAAGAGGGGATGGTTCTCTACTCACTAGGGAAAGGCTGACAACGGATAGGTGAGCAGACCTTCCTGAGGGCCACGCCTTCCTGGCCCTGGCCTTTGCCCTGAGGATGTATCAGTGAGAAGAGCCACACTTAGTCACATTTAGTTGGAAGCAAGCTCCACACACCACTCTGTGGGGTGGGCGTCTGCCAGAAACTGGCTTCAGACCCCTTCGTTACTAGGAAAAATATTTTCTTCCATTTCAGCAAATATGAACTCAGTAGCTCCCATGTGCTGAGTATCACAGGAGTTCTGAGGATGACAAACATACGCTCATCTCCAAGAAATTTGAGCAATCAAAGGAAGTAATATCTAAATACAGCCAGCATGCATAGGCAGACTCCGAGGGCTGCAGAAGGGCTGGGGGAAGTGCTGTAGGTCTCCGGGTTGATGGGTGAATTTGCTCAGGGGAGGCTCAGGGGACTTGATTTTGGTCCAGACTTTGAGGGGTTTGCCTGGCGGAGATTATCTTATAAGAGGTGCTAGGGACGGTGAGTGTCCAATCTGAGGAAAGTTCGAGTCACATCAGGCATCCTGAGAAAGACTCGGGTCAGTGTCAGGTGGCGGGAGCACCTGGGTGTGGGGCCCTTCCATCATGTCAGGCCCAGCTCTGCACTTTCCAGGCATCACCTCGGGGACCTCATACCAGCTGACCAGGTCGATGGTGCTGATACCCCTAACTGCCTGATTAGAAGCTGGGGCTCCGTGTGGCAGGAGGGGCATGTAGCACTTCTCAATGAGGGGGTGGAGAAGCATCAGCATGGCACTTTCCGAAGATCAGTGTGGCAGACAGGGATGGGGTGCAGGTAAGCAGGAGGAAGCTCCTGAGACCAACAGCAAGAAGAGTCTTTGGAGATAGCGCTGTGCAAAGCAGACCCCTCCCTGCAAGAACTGACCCTCCAGGGAGGCACAGCCAGGGTGTGGTTGTATTTGAGGGATATGGTGGGTTTCCTCCTGGATGCTGGTGTTATTGTCCACACAAGAAGCAAGCAGGAACTCCATGTGACGGGTGGCTGTAAGCTGTGGAAATACCATGTGCTTTCTGTGCACCTTCCCCTCCCCAACCCAGACATACATCAGACATACATCGTTTTATGCCTAATGTAAGTTTGGGCACTTGGATTCGGACATCACCACCATAAAGCCATCGATAAACACCAAGCACTCTCAGATAACGCTTCTGGTCCCTTTGTCGGAGCCCTGTGTCCTTGCGGACAGGAGCCCTCTCTCCTCACAGTCCCTTGGGAGGAGCTCCGTGCCAGATGAAGGGAAAGAACTGTGGGTCATGTTTGCATTCAGGGATTCCAACTCCCATTGTTGCTTCTGTGTTTCCTACCAGTCTTTTAAAATCCTGGCATGTGCCGCTGGAGTTAACACAAAGGAGCAAATGAAATCCTGGGAGTCTCCATTTGCCAAGCTTTGGGTTTTGAAGCCAAACACTGTGATGGCAGCCAACACCACTGTATTACCACACACAAAATAATGTGTTTAGCTCTAATGTGCATATGCACCCTGTGCAGTGGGATTACACAAGCTTAGCAGTGACTACTGGCTGCTGATCCCGGAATGCAGGTTGCACTGTCAGTCAACACTGGGACCCAGACAGCAGCCAGCCCCGCGCACAGGAGCAGCAAGGTGCGGGGGCTCTGGGCAGTGGCCGCACCGACCCCAGCGCCGAGCCCTGCAAGACACCGGAGTCTCCTTGATGGTTGGAGCTGTGTGTGTCTCGTCTATCCTCCAGCAACTCATTATGTACCCCAAGGAGCTACCTGCTTTAGAAAAAGAGAGAGAGGTGACATTTAAAGTAGATTAAGGAGATTTTCTTCTGTTATTGCTTTAATCGTTCCCAGGCAACATTTGCTTTTGCTTTTCCAACCGGCAGCAGATCAGAAAATGATTAGAGTTTCTCCTACAGATGAAATTCGGATTTTTGCATTTGTGCTGTTTTATGAGCTGAAACTATTTTAAAAGCCCATGTATGGTTCTCTCTACTAAAATTAGATTTAAACAAAATAAGGGTGCGCGGCCATTGGAAGATGCCATTAGCAGCTTGCCCTATAGCAGTATATTGCGTTCACCATTTTCGTCAAAAAATGAGTCTTAATTTGGTATCATTTAGAGAAGAGCTGTGTTCCATTTCATTCAACAGAAGCAGCCAGAGCCGTCTCCTACAGAGGTTAGAGCGAGAAGTTACTGGGGCGTTTGCCTGGGGCTTCCCCCTCAGGGCCAGGCAGTCTCTTGAAGCTCTGAACTTGTGGCCTTCTGATCTCAGATCTGTTCAAGATCTGCTCACTCATACATAATCCCAGGCCATGCAAAGTCAGCCCAACATGTACCTTTCCTCCCAGCCAGCTCGCAGGTAGCTAATCATAACCCCCAGGCAGGAAGCCATTCTTACTAGGAAGAACAGTGGCACCCATCCTCTTGTTATTGCTCCAAAAGGCATGACGGTGACTGGGACTGCTTTTGTCTCCGGAAATAATGCTGTGTTCTTCCTGTGCCTGAACTACAGGAACCTACTGGCATCGACTTGCCCCTGCTGGACCCAGTGAGCACCATCACCACCCTGACAGGCCCCAGCGCTTTCAGCATCCCTCCCCCGATCCGGCAGAAGCTCTGCAGCAGCCTGGATGCCCCCCAGACAAGAGGTCACGACTGGAGGATGCTGGCGCACAAGCTGAGCCTGGACAGGTGGGGATGGCCAGAGCCAGGACTGGTTTCTGTTAGGCATAAGGCTCCAGGCTGGCAACGGTTAGCCATGGGGCGGCGTTCTTTTTTCGCCCTCCATACATCTATTTACTTTCATTCTGCAATCAGGCATTATGCCCCTTCTCTGTATCGTGCACTGTGGGTTTGCAAACACATTGCTGAAAGACATTCTGGGCTTATCTGACATTTATAAGTGTCAGCTTTTGTGATTCACTCTGCAAAGCGGATAGGCCGAATCCCCCTAAGTAATATATCCACTCACTAAAGTAGTTCTTGTTCTCCGTCTCCTGTAGATCAGGACCTCCAGCCGCATGAGTCACTAATATGCAAAACGCAGCGTTGACATTCAGTTACAGGGAGACCTCAGAGGCCTGGTCCGTGTAAAACGTTGCCATCGCTACCAAGCGGGAGACACTGCATGACCTGTCAAAGACGGTCAGAGCCTTTTCTGGAGAGAAAACCTAAGTCTCTTGATTTTCTGTTTAGGATGTGACCCATACACATGATGTCTCTTAAATTATCTTACTCAGAGTTGAGGTTAACAAAGTTAAACATTACATTTCCTGTCTGGGGCTGATCTAATTAAGTATGGGCTAGTTGTTTAGGATGGGTCATGTAAAACACAGTTTCTCTCTCAAGCGGGAACTAGAGACATAACAGGCAAATGGAGAGACAGAAGAGGTTGTAAAAAGAAAAGAGAAAATTGCCCGGCTGGTGTAGCTAAGTGGTTGAGTGTCAACCTATGAATCAGGAGGTCACAGTTTGATGCCTGAATTGTGGGCTCAATCCCATCGTGCAGGAGGCAGCCTGGCCAATCCATGATTCTCTCTCATCAATGATGTCTCTCCCTCTCTCCCCCTCCCCCTTCCTCTCTGCAATCAATAAAAATATGTTTAAAATAATCATACTATAAGGGTAACATGAGACAGAGAAAGTGAAATCCCTCCCTCCAATTTTCCCTCCCTCCCTCCCTCCCTTTCCTTCCCTCTCTGAAATCAATAAAAGTATATAGAGAAAATAGATCTGTAAATTACGCCATTAAGCAGCACATTTGCCCATTCCCAATTATAGGTACTTGAATTACTTTGCCACCAAATCAAGCCCCACTGGAGTAATCCTGGATCTTTGGGAAGCACAGAACTTCCCAGATGGAAACCTGAGCATGCTGGCAGCTGTCCTGGAAGAAATGGGAAGACATGAAACCGTGGTGTCTTTAGCAGCAGAAGGACAGTATTGACCCACGCTGGACTGAATGCACAGGGAGTCTGTAGCCGTCCCGGGGATCACAGCTGAGGAGGAAACGCAGACCAGACCAATGAGCTTCACAGGCAAGATGGCAGCTGGAGAGAGAAGGAAAACAGATACGAACTACCGCTATATACGCCCACTTTATGGGACCTCGTCCCCGGAGTTAAGAACAATTGTGTACATTTGTACCTTGAATTTAAAAACCAACCTAATTTTCCTCTTTGTTGGGCTGTATGCTGTGTGGTACAGGATCTTACAGTTTCCTAGGAAACGCTTTTTATTGCTATCCAGATATATGGATAAACTTTCTTAACAAACCCAATTTCTACAAACGTTGTTTACATCAAATTGGACAGGGATGCAGACACTGTCCATGGCTCGTTCTATTTTTGTTTAAATCATTTGAAGTTGAAGCTGTGGACGGTTTGTTGTGTCTATTTCAGATTAGTAATTCACAGAGAAATCACAGACTTTTGCTACAAATCACGTGCATCAAGTGTCTCAGATAATCCTCCCATCGTGTTCTGTTTCTAGAACTTGTAAAACCAGTGTTACTGTTTGTATCAGGGAAGTGGAGAATCTAAGTGTGAAGGAGAAATAGCTAAGAGTCCTTATTCCTTTAGGACACCCATCCTGTGCCCTCTGGGGATAAAGCTGCAGCGTTGCAGGAAAGACAGTGATTCACGTTCAACCACACAAACAAGCATTTCTTCACAACATGTGTGTTTGTAATATGCAATCTGAAGTGGTGTTTTTTAAGGTATCATTATTATCATTATTATTATTGATGAGTATTTACAAGTATTCTAGTAAAAGGCTTTTCTTTTAGCTTCGGTTTTTGTTAGCAGTACTGTTAGTATTTAGCTATTGACTAGACCTGCCTCACCTTCTCCCATAACAAGGTGGGCGTGGTCACCAGTTTAATTAAACAAGCATTGCTTCCTTGACCTTTCATCTTTTCCCACCATTCTGCCCCAGACAGGTAGTAAATGCTTACTGGCTTTGTCCATCTGTTCTTGTGGCTTGCTCAGGCAGGGTCTTTCTCCTCTGAGTCCCCTATTCAAGTTCACTTAATATTGGGGTCATGTGGCCCCACACTGACTGCCCTCAGGACTCTTTCTCCCTTAGAGGCAGCGGGTTTGGAGGAACGGCCTCTGACATGGAAATCAGGAGACCAATTCTCATTCTGGGTTTGTCATTGTCTAGCTGTGCTCCCTTGGGAAAGTCATTTAACCTCACTAGACCTCAGCATCCTCGCCTGTTAAATAGTGGGGTGGGGTTAGAGAACCTCAAGGTTCCAAAACGCTGGGCCTCCGCTCCAGTGCCATTCATCAGTGTGAAGACCACAGTGGACTCTGAGCTGGATCATTTAAAGGTCCATCAAGGCTAGACTGTTGTCCAGGCTACATTATGCCTTTCAAATAGTTCCAACTTGGAAGACAATGATTCTAACCTGTAACATAATTGTTATGCTTTCAAGTCTTGTCTTTGCGTCATTGGATTATGCTGTTCCCTGAGAGATGGCATCCTTTATTATCACTTTCTTTCCTCTCTTGGGACTATTTGCCTTCCTGGTTAGTAGCAAGTTATGTTCTATTATTGTCTTGGTCAAAATTTTTAAATTAAAAAAATTTTTAACTGAAAAATAGTTCATCAATGGACTATTTTGTGTAAACTATGACACAGTATTTCCTTAGGACCATCACAGGCTCTTTGTTTTAGCACAGGGACTCAATTCATTCAGCAGGCGGGGATTAGAGAGTTAACAGCCGAATGGCCTAACCAAGATTGAAAAACAAGAAGCCATGTAGCTGAAGAAGGACCTTCAAAACATGGTTGTGGTTTACTTTTGGGCTAGAGGTGTCCAGGTTGCTGAATGGATTTGAATTAGAAGTAATTTCAGATATTTCTCCCTTCTATCCACATATATTTCCTCTCCTGACTATTTTGGTGACCTCTAGATATTTCCAGCCCCCTCCATCTTTGTCACTGAGAAAATATTGATACCTTGATATGGAGCCTTTTCTTCCAGACCTTTTATTTCTCATTTTCTGTTGTAGGTATGTATTCTATAACCAGTCTCTCTCAGGCCACTCCCTGCACCATATATAAAATATGTTACACTTATCATGAAAGGGAAAGATTGCACTAATAAACAATTTCAGTGGATAATATCTGTACCAATGCATATTTGACCAAAAGATAGTAAAATTGTATTCTACATTAAAAAATTGTAAATATATATTTTTTAAAATGAAGGAGGAGAAAAAAAGAGCTATTATCCATTGCTTCATCTTAAAATAACTTCTCAAGATTGCTCATCATTACTGGTTTGGGGGGTTGTCATCTACAGAAATTAAGAATTAGAAATCTGAAGGCTTCTCAAAAGAACATTCATGCCTAGTGAAAAGTAGAGAGGAGAAAATATCCAGCTATCCAGATAACCAATTCAAAACTTGAACTAGAAAAAAAATCATTAAAAAGTCATCAACGCAGAAATATTGAACACAGCAGGCAGGGACTATATTATCAAAGCCATCGAGGGCCTTTGGCGTTCACTTCAGAGGCTTCATGCCTTTGGGTTTAGCATCCCAGCACCAGAACAGGAAGAGTGGTTGATTCTTTGTTAAGTAAGGTACTCATCTATCATCTGTTGTAGAACCCTGTTATGTTTCCTATCAAGTAAATGGCAACTTCCATACTTATGACACGCCACTATGTCAGATAATCTTCACTATGAATTCCGATTTCCTTCTTTGGAAAAGTGTAATAACTGTTAGTTTGCTCTCAAACTTAGAAGCTCCAGAGCCAACATTTCATTTCAAGGGAGTCACTTCACCAACCATTCTATGTGACCAGTCCTGCCTCTCATGCTTATTTAGCTTGTGCAGAAACACAAGGCTCACTTCATTTGGAAGGGGATACCTATCACTTGTGCATGGTGCCATCTAGTGGTGTATAACACAATCTACTTTCAGTTTAATATAAAAACACTAAAAGTTGTTTGACAAAGGAACTGTAAACCTGCCGAGTCAATAGGGCCTTTATAACAAATAGATGTGCGGACACTTCACTTCAAATATAGTTTTCGTATTCTCACTTTTTTTCTTCTCAATTAAAGTACCCATATGAAAAATTGCATGTCATCATGAGCATATTATGTCATCAACTCATTCCTACATGACACATCTCAAGTCGGATTTTGATAATAGAAATACATAAGCATCTTTATAAATCAGTCTTTGAAGAATTGTCATTTTAACATTTATATTTTTCATTGGGCTTTATATTAAATCTTTATTTTAAATCTCCTTATTTTTGGTCCTCTAACATTTATTTCTGGAAATGTGAGATGTATCTGCTTGGAAAGAAATGTTTTATGTATGAAAATGCGTACCCTATGTCTAAGTAACTGAAAATTGTGGCTGTTGATCAAGGAGAAAAAAGAAGCTTCTTTCTTCTGAATTTGGGGGTCTAAGGGCGGGAGTTTTCTTTTCTTTCTTTCTTTCTTTCTTTCTTTCTTTCTTTCTTTCTTTCTTTCTTTCTTTCTTCCTTTCTTTTTTTTTCCTCATCACACTCATTCAAATTTCCTTAAAGTGATCTGGAAGGACTAGAAGTTGGATTCAGAATTGATAACTGGGCACAAGGTGATGCAAATGTGTAACACCAAGGTCCTCCCAGCCAACAGCCTTTCCACACACAGTGGGACTGACTACCAACATGGAAACCCACCTTAGTTACCTAGAAGAAACCATCCCCCATCAGCAGTGGAGACCCCTCCAAGGCAGGGCAATGTCTTGGGTGAGGTGTCCAATATTAAACTGCTTCACCATTGGCTATTTTCATCTATCCTACTATTCTGTAGATTTTCAATTCACAACATTCAAATAGTAGACCATTCTTTAGGGAGACATCAGGGAGACTGAGTTCAGGACACTGGAAACTACACATGTAAGCATATATTTGAATGGCATTTCTCCTATTTCCTTCAAATAAACATTCCAATAATAGAGTCAAACTTATTACTTCTTCTGGAAAGGATCAGACAAGGCTCTTTTTTTATGTACCCGCTGCATCTACATCAGGGACACAGCTGTGCTCTTGGTCCACTTACTCTTTTGTCATCAATGTAGGAGGAAGGGAGCCAGTGAGGGGATCACTATGTCCCCAGAACTCACAAGTGAATAAAAACCATATGAAGACCTGCAAGAGAGTGCAAAGGGGGTGGGGAAAGTTTCCAGCTTCAGGTTGAATGTCAGCTTTAGCTTTTGCTGAGCAGTTGCTCAAGACAACTTATCTGTTTCACTTAGAGACCTCAGTACAACTCCAAGGCTGATGCAAGACCGAAGGACCAGGGAAGCAGCTGAAATGAAATGGGGTTTAATCCATCTTCTTTGAGAACAGAGGAACTTTTGTGAATCAGAAAGTGTTTGCTCAAAGCCAACTATTTACAAAGATGATAATAGTCAATGAGCATTAAAATTTATAGATCCAATAAGGGAATATTTTTATTCTTATCTCAAGGTAATAAAACTTTTTTTTCTTTTTTTTTACCTTTCGAGTGCCTCGTAGGACCAACTATTACACATTGGGTTTTTTGTTTGTGTTTCTGTATATTCTTTTGTTTTTAACTTTACAGAGCTAATGTTGACTGAAATTCTTAAAACTTTGCCACTGTGCAATGAAGTGCTGTTTCTCTACCCTAAGAAATCTATTTGTATAATCTTTGACTGTAACGATCATTTTGAAAGATTTCCCTTGTATCTCTAAAGATTTTTTTTAAAAAATGGAACAAGGCATAAGAGGAATAAATACATTGTAAGCAATGTTAATTTAAGCCTATGTCCCTACAGGTCAAGTAAACCAAACAAAGTCATAACTATTTCCAGAATTCATGCCTGATAACCTGCTATTTTTATAAAGGAGGGAGATGGCCTTATATGTCACTGGGTGGGTTTTCCCCATAGACCAAGTCTAGCAATTAACTTCCTGATCCTTTAGTCTTATCAACCTATCATTGCCTCCATTTCCAGAAAGCCTGCTTCAAAAATTTGTCTTCAGAAGAACTGATGGCTCCCAGATTTCCCAGTGGCCTGTCACCTCCCTGTATTGATCTTTGGTGGGATAATAATGGGTTAATTCAACCAAATGTAATGTATGTCCAGATGTATTCCAGCATGGTGGAGGAAAACATCCCTGGGATGACAGAAACTCCACCCAGGGACTAGCACACAAAACCACGCCCTGACGAGGGGCTATTTGCCATCCTCTGCCCATGGAGCACTTGTGTATTGAGATCTGTCCAGAAGTCTTCCGAGTCAGGAATCCATGCTGATGTCTTGAGGGTCATGGCCCACCAATTGTTGGGGGGAAAACAGGAAAGACGCCCTCAGATACCATCAGATACCATCGGCTGCCCACCAGCCAAAGTATATGTTACAATATACCAGCTTCTCAACGTGCCATTTCAGATCTGTGCCTCGGCAAAATTATTAGCTCAAGGCCATAGCACTTCAGGGCCCCTTTCAAGTATGCCTCCATCCTATGTGTCATCATCCTTCAACCCCAACGGTCTACTGGGATTGACACGGTCAGACCTGCTGTCGAACCCAACGGCACTGACCCCAGGTCACAACCCTCAGTGCTGGCCTTCAGGACCTGAGTGGTGGGCAGGTTTTGCTGATCAGTAGCCTACAGGATGAGGAGACCTGGGCCTCTGAGCCTCAGCATGATGACGAGGCAACATGCAAGCACCATGATCTGAGCCATGTTGTCATGTTAAAACGCGTCTGTTTTACGGTGGAATGGCTTAAAAGAGCCAGGGAGCCAGGGCCTGTGGAAAACGCCTTTGCCCTTTTAGATTTTTAAAGTCTCCTATGACACCTGCTAATGTAGGGTTATAAACACAAGTGGTTACTCCTCCAGGCCTTGGAGAAGAAAGAGGACACAGCAAAAGGAACGCGTGGGACATGAGATCTGTGATGGGCGCTCTCCCTTCATTCTTTCCTAGCCCTGTTGGTGGGGAAGCCACACACCCCACTCCCGCACACCCCCGTCTTCCCAGCAGTGTATTAGCTGGGCAGCAGGGAACAGCATCCATCCCCATGCGTGCTGGGCACTGCTGTGTTCACTGCACTCAGTGCTGAGCTGCAACGAGCTGCTGGCCTTCCTCTGGGCTCTCTCTAAAGAAGGCAGCCCGTGTGTGTCAGAGGGGGAGCCCCGCAGTCCGTGCTGAAGAGCCGGTGTCGTCCACCTGCTGTTCCCTTTGGAACAGTTCAAGGGCAGGGATGTCAGGTGGAGGTCCGGGGCTTTGTCATTTTTCTCTTTTTAAACACAAGGCCACCTTGGTGTTTCAGGCACGGGACGCTTCTTTTGTTGTTGCGGAGTTCCCTCTCGCTGTATCTTCTATGCAATTCCTTTTCTAGAAAACCCGGGGAGGAGGAGTGCTCCGGGCAGGGCACCCGCCCTCTGAGGGGCCCCAGCAGAGGTGAGGGCCCGGTGCCTCTGCTCTCTCTCTGGCTGCCCCTCCCCGTTTCCCTGCAGTCCCCTGGGTTTGTAACTTGCCTGCATTTATTCTGTCAGCCAACATGTACAAAATGTAAGAAAGAATTTTTAACCAGGTAATAAATTATATTTATAAGCAACAGAGAACGCTGTCTCTCATCTCTTCCTAGCAAAGCCCTTCTCCCCGAAGAGTCACCATGGGCTCCGTCGCGAGGACACACAGCTGCTGGTGTCTGCACGGGCGGCCATCGCCAGCCCCTCGGGGCCAGGGCGAGGTTCCGGCGTGTGGCGTCTCACACTGGAACCACTTGAGTGGGTCCCGATGCCAGAGGTTCTGAAGGGGTGGGGGGTAGCTTTTAAAGCTCCCAGGGGATAGGCTGAGCAGTTGGTGGGGGGAACCAGAGTCTTAGAACTGCTGCCTTCGGGGCCCCTGGGAGCTTGTGACTAAGAATATGAGGCCCTCCCCCACCCGGAGAGATCTGGTTTTCAGTGAGGCACGCGGGCCACTGCACTAAGAGGTGGGAGACGGCGGGTGAGCCAGGCACACAGGATGCCCAGAGCTCTAGCAGAAGCCCAGCAGGCGTTCACCTCGGTACAGGACACCGCCACTCACTCACCTGAAGCAGGGAAAAGGCGCCAGCGTGTGCTGGAAAGCAGCTATGAGACTGAGGCGTGGTGGGGAAAGAACTACCGCTGACCCTTGGACAGCAGGGGTTTGAACTGAACGGGTCCACTTGCATGTGGGGTTTTCTCACTAAATACTGCATCTCCTCTTTGGATTTTCTCACTAACACCTTCTGTTCTCTAGCTTACTGTATTGTAAGAATACAGTGTACTATACCTACCACACACAAAATATCGGTTGACTGTTGACGTTATCAGTAAGGCTGCCGTCAACCGTAGGCTATTACTAGTTAAGATTCGGGGGAGTGGGGGTGTCAAAAGTTACACATAGAGTTTTGAACGTGCAGGGTGTTGACGCCCCTAACGCCAATGTTGTTCAAGGATCGACTATACTTGGAGAAGGGTGCCAGGTGGACTGCAACCAGCCCGGACCCCTAACAAGAAAGTATTTGTGAGCAGCTGTGCCAACACTAAGAAATACCCCCTCACCCCGAACTGGGAGAGTGACTTAAGACTGATTCAAAGCTGGGGTTACAAGCTCAAATGTTTGCCAGGGCTCAGGAAGTAGTGACAATATACTGTATAAACTAAGAATAAAAACAAGAAGTGAGTCCTGTGGCTGACCTAGAGAATTCAACTCCATGTAAAAGAATGAAAATTCAGTTACAGAACAAAACAGCACTTCAGAAAGAAAACAGGGCAACACAGACAGCCCAATATCACCCGGGGAGCCCCAACTTGGAACTTTGGTAGCTGGGGTTCCCGTTGGGAAAGCTGAGCCCAGGAGAGCGTGACATCACTTCCAAAGTCAAGGCTGACGGCCCGCCTCAAACCCGTCTGGGCTGAGGTCCCTGGAGAGGCGTGAGGCCGGGCCTCCCTCTGTGTCTGTCCCTCTGTGCCACCATCCTGGGGGCTTCAGCAGCCACAAGGACAGACCCCAGGTGGTTCCTCTTGGAATCTTCATCCTGACCACAGCCACTTTCTCAGAAACTGCTCAGGTACCACTCACCCCCCTCAGGGCTCCCGGTCCTTTGACCCATCAGCAGGCTCCTCTTTAAACCCGTCCCTAGTGTGAACCGTGTCAGATGATAGTAATCTTTATTTTCTATGACCCACTGCTCCATAGGCCTGATAAACCCTACCCTGAATGAATCCAATTACTGCCACTTCCATGCCTACCCTTTGCTGATAGACAAATGAAATCCTCAATCTACATGGATAAGTAGCACTATGAATTTGTAACAACAGCTAACGCTTCGTAATGGACGTGGGCTTACTTCATGCTGATACATGGGTCACTCCGTTTCATCTTCAGATTCACTGCATGCAGCAGATATTAGTGTGATCCTATCCTCGAGGGGAAGAAGCTGAGCCTACTGTCACTCAGCCAGGGGATGAGTAAGCAGGAGTCACAGGCGGGCTGTCCGCTGGTCCAGAGGCCACACTCCTGGCCACTCAGCCACACAGCATCAATGCTGACCGGGCCCTCAGCGTTGCCCACCACCGAGCTGTCACTTTTCACAGTACAATTCTCACTTCTTCAAACCACTGACTTCCTACCTTTCTTCTCACTCTCAGCAAAAGACCCTGCCTCCTACTTACAGAGAAAACAGAAGCCATCAGACCATTGCTCTTGCTCCCTTGCTACCAGGTGTGTGCACTTACCTGCCTCCCTCTTCAGGGCTGCCCTGTGATACAATGGGATAGTTTCAAGTCAGAAAAAGGCACAGCCATCAGATAACAGACACGTTCTTGCCAAGGGGAGAACGAAACCGTTTTATTTGGGGGAATGTTCAAACAAAGCCATATACAATTTGTAACAAATACAATACAGTTGTTTGTTCCCTAGTCCTGAATAATTACAGTATATACAAATTCAATAAGGCACTGGTTCCCCAAAAGAACACAATGAGTCTTCTTTTGAAACAGACAACAAAACTCTTTATTGCCAACTCTTCTCCAAAAAAAAAATATATATATGGCATTGTTTTTTCTGCTTTGTTTTACAAGAGGAATCATAATGGCTAAATTAAATCACTTCGGATGCCATTTTGTTCGTTTCCACTGCTTTATGACTGAGTTTTCCAAGGAGATATAACCACAGAACAATTCAAGTTTAAAAACTGTACTTCTTTCAGTGCCTTTCCAACTACAAACATGGAGAGCTAGAACAGACCCGTGACATAAAACACTGGAATTTCCAATGAATATGCTTGACTCTAGGAACGTGAATTCTGGTTGTTATTCGGTCCTTGCTATACCTGACTACACAACAACTGAAACAAAGAATTCCCTATAAATAAAATCTTAGCATGTTTTTCTAAGATGCTTTATGTCTTGATACTAAAAAGAATGGTCGCTAGTCACTTTTGAACAGTGCTTTCCAGGAGGTCAAAGGCCTGTCTCTTCACAATGTTCGTAGCACTGTAACTTATGATTTCACGATCTACAACACTTTTATAAATAAATATTATGTTTCATTTAGTACTTTATTATAATTTGGAAGTAAGTAGGTAGTCTCTTTAAGAACAATTTAGGGTTCCTTAAGTTAGGTGAAGTTTGTGAAGACAAAAAAAAAATCTATTCATAAATAAATTCTTGTTGCACTGAAAGACTATACTAACTAAATAAGTCTTTTGAAGTATCTCAGGAACAATCTTTAGATGTTCATAATGAGTAAATCAGACTGAAAATTAGAAAGTAAGCTACTGATTCTTCTGAAGCAACTAAACAAATAAGATAGAAGAAGTTTCCTGCCATTCTTCATTGGAACCAACACCTCCCTAGAAATCAAGTGTATTTTCAAATCATCACTTCCCTTGAAAATTAGAAAGTAAGCAATTCTTCTGAAGCAATTAAACAAATAAGATAGAAGAAGTTTTCTGCCATTCTTCATTGGAACCAACACCTCCCGAGAAATCAAGTGTATTTTCAAATCATCACTTCCCCCAAAATGTTCTGATTTGCAGTTATCATGTATAAAATCTTACCTAAAAGAGCACACATTTTTATCTAAGAAGTCCAACCGCACTTAAATTTAGCAAAAAATCAAGAAACAAAACATGTCCCCAGTTATGGGCATAAATGTTTACTTATTTGTTTGTAGATGATCTGATTAGAGGTAATGAAGTTTCTCTCCACGGCTCAGATGATTATCACGCTTAGTTCTAGCCACATATTCCTTCTAAGCTATCACAAAGAACACAATTTGACACAAGAGAAAGGAACGGTTACATTGCCATTCAGGTTCTTCTAATAACACCAAAAGCAGCATTCTGATTAAAATTCTATTTTGGAGCCAACTGTTTTTAATCTTTATAAAAAAACAAATTTTTTTCATATTCAAGAACTTTTAAAAAACCAAGTTATTTCTTTGTTACAAACAAAATGTGGCTATGAAACATTGGGAAGTCAATGCTGAATACGGAACACTGTGTTTCTTATGATTCTCTCAGACTGTTAAGCACAGCTCACAGCCACTCTCTGCTCCAGGGTGTTTTCTGAATGAAGTCACCAGCTGCAAGCCGACTTCAGAAGTGAGGAAAATATTTTATC